TTCAACTATTTAGTGAGGGGAGATAGGGTCTGAATAGGGGTACGTTATCATCACTGATGCACTGGCCACTTTAGACAATTTGTTTTATCACTACCTTTTCCTTTTTCTTTTAACAGGCAGCTCGCTTCAATGTAAGACACAAAGATATGGATTCTACACAAACAGAGGTAAAAGCCATGGATGATTTGCGTGGGAAGATTGAAAAGGTGTTTCCTGATGACTTGGCTTTTCCATATTCACCGTTCTATCTGGGATGGGAGACAAATAAGGTATTAATAAAATAAATATTTCTGAGCCCTGATGTGGATCAAAAGAAAAATGATATTGAACAACCTAAATTTCACGAAAAGTTCTGCTTCGCCTCAAAGACTGAAGAAGATGAAGGAGTGGCTGGCCGTAGAAATTGCTTACTTACAACACCATGTCTGTAAAATGAATGACAGAATTGTATGTCAGTTGTTTTCTCTTCATGATTTATCAGTAAGTTTGAGAAAGCAGTACTATACCCCCAGGAAAGTACTGCTCAGTAGATGTGGTTTAAACAGTGGCACTAGAGTACAGTGGAGCCTCGAGCTATAGAACGAAGGGCCAAGGGACTGGTAGAATTTGTTCTCTATAACGAGGTTTCGTTACATCGAGGTTCTTTTTCATGTATTTTACCATTACTGGGTAAAGAAAATCGTTCGTTATACGGAGGACTTCGTTATATAGAGTTTCGTTATATTGACTGTAGTTTTTGTACACTGACTCTGACTCTGACTCACTGACTCCATGTGCATCAATAATGAGCAGCACCACACGAGCGTTCCTATGAATGGTAACACTTCAGCAGGTTATTCACAGAACCAACTTGTACCTACAGCATAACAAACAGTACCACAGGAAAGTACTGCATAGCAACTGTCATTTGAAATGGTTGCACGAGAATTTATTTGACGAACAGAGCCTGCAAAAGTTGATGTACCTTTGTTGTCTAGTGACATTAGTCTTTATTTCAGGTGATCTTAGAGGAACTCTTTCGTAACATGGCGTTCAATCTGATGGTTGTGTTTNTTGACTGTAGTTTTTGTACACTGACTCTGACTCTGACTCACTGACTCCATGTGCATCAATAATGAGCAGCACCACACGAGCGTTCCTATGAATGGTAACACTTCAGCAGGTTATTCACAGAACCAACTTGTACCTACAGCATAACAAACAGTACCACAGGAAAGTACTGCATAGCAACTGTCATTTGAAATAGTTGCACGAGAATTTATTTGACGAACAGAGCCTGCAAAAGTTGATGTACCTTTGTTGTCTAGTGACATTAGTCTTTATTTCAGGTGATCTTAGAGGAACTCTTTCGTAACATGGCGTTCAATCTGATGGTTGTGTTTGTAGTAACGCTTGTTGTTCTTGCAAATTTGAGGGCGTGCCTCATGGTCTTTACGTGTGTTGGCTTTACTTTGGTAAGTTATCCGACTTCAACTGAGTGGAATAAGTTATTCGACGACCATTGGGTCAGGGCTTCTGATATAATGCGGGATAATGATATAATGTGGGATTTCAACGGCCTAACTGATCTCACATCCCCAGGTGGAAGTGGGTACGCAAGAAAGTTTCATGCGGGGAGGCCCCAAGATCCAACCGTCCTACCCCTTTCGTATTCCTTCTAATGACAAGTGGTGCCCCTTTCACATACCTAGTTCAGAGCTTTGCATCCCATTTAATTGCTGTAAATGTGTTGTCTTTAACGTTTTCTCGACTTTTGATTGGGTTGTCTGTGGAACTCAATGATGGAATGGGCTTTCTCCGTCGAAAAAGACAAAATGGCGGACCGCTCACCCAGAACGCATTCCTTGACCTACTGCCCCCTTCAGTGGGGCCGATTTCTGCGGGAAGGGGACGGATCATTTCAGGTCATTTGGCATACAGATTTGGAAGTCGATTTGGAACGAACACAAAATTATTGCGTGGGGTTATCGGCCCTATGTCCACGCTGAATGATCATGTATTGAAATGCAGTATTCCATGAAGTTATTAGCCTGTGCGGGAGCTGCAGAAACAATGACCTCCCAATGGTCCCCACGGGAAAAGCTTCAACTTGTTCTGCGTGTGAAAATTCTTTCCTTACAAGAAAGGAATATGCTATTTGACTGTAGATCGCCCCATGAGTTATAAATAGTGTTGTCTCAGCACTCAAACGGTGTGTTATAACACAACTGGAAGTGTTGATCTACACTAATACAGTGTAAAATTCCCAGTAGTGTAAATGTACCTGACTTTGGTGTGCACACAGCTGCAATGGGTTTTACATATATTCAGTGCCATTATTACCCTTTTTTTAGTGTAACAAAAATACCAGAACAGTGTAAAGGAGACATGTTTTTGGTGTATTTTAACACCAAAATTGGGTTACGTTAACCCAATTTTGGTGCTACTAAACACCAATAAAGAGAAAATATACATCAAGTCAGTGTTGCTGTAACACTGTAAAGGTGTTTTTAAACGCATTCAGGATCGTATGTAGGTCATATTTACACCATTTTGGTGCAAATATACACGACAGTAGTGTTAACTGAACACCTATTTGGGTTCACACAGCTGGAAAAATTTACACTTTTTTGGTGTTACCATAACACCTCGAGTTTGCTGTGATCAATTACAAACACATTCAGTTGGATAGTTAGAAGGGCTTTAAATGCAATATCCGACAGAAAGAAAACTGAAATTTAATTTGCTTTGCACGTTTTGTGAAACAGAAAATTACTGTTACTTATAACAGTATTTAGGACACCAAACAACGAAATTGACCCTGTCACGTTTTATAAGCGTAGAACGACAATACAGTGTAACCTCGGTAACTCGAATTCTGTAGGGAAACTTAGGGAAACATAAAACAGTTCGAGTTAGCGGGGTACGAGTTAGCGGGATCGATTGAATATTCAATTTGCCACGTAACTAAATGACAGTTACTGACTTTTCAGAACCTTAGTGTACATGTACAGTACAGTCTAAATTAAGTTGTTTCATCAGAAACAGTAACATTATTATACGTTTTTATGATAAAACGTGATCTGTTCGTTGGTCGTACCGATTGAAAACAAATTACTGTAGTGTTAGTTAAGGTGTTTTTACCGATTATACAACATCTGAGTAAAGTTACAAGAACCGGAATTCGAGTCGTCGGAGTAAATTCCAGTGAAATTTTGATCGAGGGAAAGAAAATTTTGTTCGAGTTTGCGGGGAATTCGGGTTATCCGAGTTCGGGTTAACCGAGTAAAAATGACTAAAACCTGGGGTGAAATCAAAGGGAAATCGGACTTTCCTTATTGATACTCGGTAATTTGAGGGTTCTTTATTTTCGCGTTGTTTGCGATTGCAAAAAAAATCGTGAAAATAAAGACTCGTGAAATTTAAGCACACGAAATTTAATACCCATATAGAAAATTCAAATCACATAAAAAAACATCATATACAGGATAGTTATCTGGTTACACTGGTAAGCTCCGTTTTGTATATATCTGCAGTAAGTGAAATAAGGTTAATTTGTAAAGCTTTCATACGTTGCTTTTCCTGGCCAGTTTAACTAGAAATTTATAAGCTTTAATTTAGACTTTTTCAAAAAATAGAATGAAGTTGAAAATGGTTAAGTCGCGAAATTTAATGCCATTTTCTCATTTTAGTGCGTTGAAATCGCGAGAATAAAACCTTGCGAAATACTCTCTCGCCAAAATCGCGAAATTCGATACCCGTGAAATGAAGAACCAATAAGGTAATTCGAGTTAGCGGGTAGTTCCAGTTATCTGCGTTCGAGTTATCGAGTTTCTACTGTACTTTTTGGAATTTCCGGTTAGTTCAAATTAGTCACGTTCTACTGTACGTCATGCTATATTTTGGGAGGCAGAGATCAAGATTAGGGGAGGGGGTGCGTTCTACCCATTCCACCGGTTTGAAGTAGCGATATACTCAATCCGGAAAAAAAGTGTAATTATTGGCTATGTTTCACAAAAAATATTAAACAACTGCATAGCGCAGCTGGCGGCAGCACAATGAACCCCCACAACCACCATGGTGGTCTTGTTCAAAGTCATGAAATGCATCTGTTATATTTAGCTAGGGCCTTTAACAGAACGAATTGACAGATTTCTCTACCCTTTTATCTACTAACACTAGTCAAATCTCTACCCTTCCAAATACCTGAAGCCTGAAAAAGATACCCCTTTCGGGCGGAGCCTCCCCCTATAAGCCACTGCGCGTAGAATGCCCCCGCCCACCGGCTCACATCGCGTCTGATCGCATGCTTGTCCCAAGAGTGACCAACATCAATTTTCTCCTAACAATATCCATACATAATCAAGAGAATTATCGAAAAAAATAGTGCTTTGATTTTTTATCAAATAATCAACTAATTCTGTAAGGAAATGTATAGTAATCAGTCTGGGAGGGAAATACACTTGGGTATTAGGGCTAATGCTGTTGTTTATCTAGGTTCAGTAAGTGAACTCTGTCAGTATAATTTTTGCCCCTTACGGTACCTTTCCAGCTCCTAGAAATTACGTATAATTTCCCAACATTTTTGCGCACCCCATAAAAAGGTGCCTCTTGCGCCTACCAATAACTATGAAACTGCAAAGCAAAACAATTGTACAGAAACAAAGGAACATGCAAAAAAACTTCAAAAGTACAGAAGGACAGAAGCCCATTATGGGCTCCTGAGAAGGACTAATGCTAAAGATGGTATTCGTACAACAGAACGTTATGGTGTTGACGCTGAAATGCTGTTCGAGAGTATTTTTATCTATAAAATACGCAGTTCCTGGCCGAGGCTTAACTTAAAGCGACTGAGGACAGGACACTTGTCAAAGTCCCATTTCTGACTATGCCAAAATGGAGCTCTTTGGGGTCGGTTAGATTTTGTAGTGCGCATGATAGTGGCTGAAAACTGACGTGCTTCATTAAAAACGGAAGGCTCCAGGGGCGCTCAGACGGGCTCAAGTCCCGAGGGCGGCTCATCAGCAGGTAGCTTGCTGAAGGCTGGACGCACTAGAAGGGATGCCAAAACAGCTGTATGTGAACCTACTGGGGAGGGGGGAGTGGTTGCAAGGATTGGGGAAGGTCTCGCGAAGGGTTTGTTCTTCAAAGTCCTCCAAGTAGAGGTTTGGTATGACTGCGAAGACTGGGCTTCCCATAGCTGCGCCATATGCATCTTGTTGTTCATAAATTGCTCCATCATACTGAAGTAGGTGGACCTTAGAACAAAGTTTAAAAGGTGGGCAATCTGTGTAGGCGTTAAAGCTGTGTGGTCAGCAAGGCTTGTGTCCTTAGATGGTAAAGGAGCCGTCAACTAACTGACGCACAACTTTACATGTGTTGCTTACTTCAATACTTTTTTATAGGTCAGTATCACAGGTACTATGCACTTCTGGGGTGTGACTATTGAGACGGTGAGCACTATTTTGCTGTTGATTGCTGTTGGTCTTTCTGTGGATTATGCCTCTCATGTTGCGCACACATTCATGATTATATCTGGCACACGATACGGTAGGTTGTTGACATTATTTCCCTACTTCATGATTCTTCATGTAAAAAAAAATATAAGCTCGCTAACGTTGTCTATGAGCAAACCTTAAGAAACCTTTCCTCGTGCAAGTATTTTAATTCATGCTCAAATTTGCTCACTGTTTGCTCACACGGTTATCATATCTTCGTTTGGGTTTACACTGGTATAGGAATATTACAGTGTTCACATCACTTATCAGTAAAATGGACATTAGTTTTTTCACTCGTATCACACCCCGGGGAGAGGGGTACTCAACAAAGTTTTTTACAGGAAGGCTCTTTTCCCATTTCCAACCCTTTACCCTTTTATATACAATTTTCGAGAAAAAAGGTACCCCTTTCGTATACCCTCTATTGACAAGTGGCACCCCTTTCACATACCTAGATTAGAGCTTTGCATCCCTTTAACTGTTGTGAATGCAACGTTTTTACATGAATAGATCACAAAACCATAACATGTTCTCGACTTTTTCATAGCCATAAAAAACCATCTTTTAGCCTTTATTACCGACCGAAGTGACAGATTTCCCTACCCTTTCAAATACTTTAACAACTGAAATTCCTACCCTTTCATACACCTGGAGCCTGAAAAAGGTATCTCTAGCCATTAGGGAGTAGTCTCCCCGTAAAGGCCATGTTAGGGAGTACCCCCTTGGTGCCACGCTAAGTTTCCGTGGTTCGTCCTCACGACAGAGCTGAATAACTTGTGCGCATGTGCAGAGACGGGAGAGGTCTATGATCTAAACTAGTATCGTTTACAAAAGGATTTTCAAAACATCCTCACATTTTGGCGATTTTTTAAGATGGATTCTGAACATTAAAGGTTCCCATTTAAAGTAAAGGTAGATTATTTGATACTTTATTTAATTCTCGTTTATAGTTTTGTAATTTTTCTTATATTTTTTGCTACGAACAAAAGAAGATGCACGTTCGAAGCAGAGCAGTTCTTTCATTCGAATGTTTACATGTTCAAGCGTAAACAGAGGTGGCTTATCAACATGTGATCAGCCGGGCATCTCATATCAGTGACAGCATTAAAGGAACATTTTGATATTTATCTTTATTTTTCCTTGAATGATCGACTATTAATTTCTGTCATTCCTCTCGCTTTGTTTCGCTAGGCCGAGTTTCACTATAAGAACTGTAAGAACACAAAAAAAAATTCACTGAGGTTTCTCTTCTTTCTTCCACTATCCAGCTATTGCAATCAGGTTTACTAATAAAGTACTAGACTACAAATCTAGGCCACCAAAATTTCGTGCTGAATCTAAATAGTTTAATTCAATCTTACTCTGGTGCATGGAGCGTATGAAAAACCATCTTCCGCAGTTGCTCAGTCTCTGAACAAGAGCAGGCCTAACCTGCCATTTTTAACTGTCACCGACTCATTTGTGAAACTGAAGTGTGTCAACCCGTCTTAGTATGTTAGACCATCGAAGTAATTCAAGCCATCTGTAATGCTTGAGTTTCCTCGTGCAAGTATTTTAATTCATGCTCAAATTTGCTCACTGTTTGCTCACACGGTTATCATATCTTCGTTTGGGTTTACACTGGTATAGGAATATTACAGTGTTCACATCACTTATCAGTAAAACGGACATTAGTTTTTTCACTCGTATCACACCCCGGGGAGAGGGGTACTCAACAAAGTTTTTTACAGGGAGGCTCTTTTCCCCTTTTCCAACCCTTTACCCTTTTATATACAATTTTCGAGATAAAAGGTACCCCTTTCGTATACCCTCTATTGACAAGTGGCACCCATTTCACATACATAGATTAGAGCTTTGCATCCCTTTAACTGTTGTGAATGCAACGTTTTTACATGAATAGATCACAAAACCATAACATGTTCTCGACTTTTTCATAGCCATAAAAACCATCTTTTGGCCTTTATTACCGACCGAAGTGACAGATTTCCCTACCCTTTCAAATACTTTAACAACTGAAATTCCTACCCTTTCATACATCTGGAGCCTGAAAAAGGTATCTCTAGCCATTAGGGAGTAGTCTCCCCGTAAAGGCCATGTTAGGGAGTACCCCCCTGGTGCCACGCTAAGTTTCCGTGGTTCGTCCTCACGACAGAGCTGAATAACTTGTGCGCATGTGCAGAGACGGGAGAGGTCTGTGATCTAAACTAGTATCGTTTACAAAAGGATTTTCAAAACATCCTCACATTTTGGCGATTTTTAAGATGGATTCTGAACATTTAAGGTTCCCATTTAAAGTAAAGGTAGATTATTTGATACTTTATATAATTCTCGTTTATAGTTTTGTAATTTTTCTTATATTTTTTGCTACGAACAAAAGAAGATGCACGTTCGAAGCAGAGCAGTTCTTTCATTCGAATGTTTACATGTTCAAGAGTAAACAGAGGTGGCTTATCAACATGTGATCAGCCGGGCATCTCATATCAGTGACAGCATTAAAGGAACGTTTTGATATTTATCTTTATTTTTCCTTGAATGATCGACTATTAATTTCTGTTATTCCTCTCGCTAGGCCGAGTTTCACTATAAGAACTGTAAGAACACACAAAAAAAACTCACTGAGGTTTCTCTTCTTTCGTCCACTATCCAGCTACTGCAATCAGATTTACTAATAAAGTACTAGACTACAAATCTAGGCCACCAAAATTTCGTGCTGAATCTAAATAGTTTAATTCAGTCTTACTCTGGTGCATGGAGCGTATGAAAAACCATCTTCCGCAGTCGCTCAATCTCTGAACAAGAGCAGGCCTAACCTGCCATTTTTAACTGTCACCGACTCATTTGTGAAACTGAAGTGTGTCAACCCGTCTTAGTATGTTAGACCATCGAAGTAATTCAAGCCATCTGTAATGCTTGAGTTGGCTTCATTTTACCTTACTTTTTACTATAAAGAAATTAATTCATGAGATGCAAATGGTTGACAATTGCGACTGCCAATGATCAACAGCTAAGTTCTTTATCAAGGTTTTTGATAGTATGAACATGCAGTGCGACACTTCACTTTGTTTGATTGTGTTCTTGAGTTTGGTTTCCTGATATCCTCCTCTTTCACCAGCCAACTGATTATGTCTCCAAAAGTGAAACCTTTTTCATGTTTGTTGGAATAATTGTTGCCTAACTGTTGCCCAACTGATCAAGAATTTATACTGTATTTATATACGGTTAACAAGAATAATAAATAATCACTGAACCAATATAAGTGGGTCTTAGCCAAGAAAAAAATCTTCCAAATTCAGCTCAATGTAAAGTCATTAAAATAATAAACTGATTTTGAGTACATTTTACACATTGGGCTTAAAAAGTGAAGTGGTTGTTTGGTATTTTTTCCTTTATGAGAACCATAATAATAATTTATTTGTTTCGTTTAATATTGGAAATAATTCAACTAATGTACATATCTCCCCTTGCCAAAAAGAGATATTACTGTTCATCTCAAATTACAAACTAGATGAGATAAATGATTGATCAATAAGACCCTTTACCATAGCCTGCGCGCAGACGAAATTAAACTCTGGTTAACTCCGTCTGCGAAACAGCGCCGAAATCCTTGTTCTGGACTTCCAGTTGTGTACCCAGATTTGAGTACGCACCACGATTGGCCAGTTAAAAAAGACCTTTGTTTTGTTTGTCGCAAGACTAATAATAGCCAAATAGGTTGAAGGGAAATTCGAAACGCACTTCCGGTAATTCGTTGAGTCGGTTGGGGGTCCAGAACAAGGATCTCTGCGCTGCTTCGCAGACGGTACTAATCAGAGTTTAGTTATCGTCTGTACGCAGGTTACCTTTACCAAAGAGCCAAAGAAAAATCACATACAGGGAAGAGAGTGCAATACAGATTCTTATCAGAGGTCCAAACCTCTTCACTCTCTAATAAAAGGCAGCCTTTATTATTATGGACCTTTGAAAGCTTGACCCATTCTGGAGAGCTATTTTATTGCATTTACCACTATACAACAACAATCAAAATTAATGTGAAAAGAGAAAAAAGCGAAGTAACATAATCGATGGCTGCTGGTAAAAAAGTATCAATGACTTGAAGTTTTCTCAAAGCTTCATTACCAGGAGAAGCACAATATGACTCTTTGTAGACTCTCTTTACTCCATTTTTTATATTCCTTTTATTCTTTACTCTTTCTTGATTTTTCTTTTTGAAGTCTAGATCTTCATTCCTTGATTCTTCTGCTTCAGTCAAGCCTGTTATAAATGATAAACTTATAGTTAATACGAAAACTCACATGGAACTCAGTCAATTTGTGTTTTCTTTTCTCAAAACTTCACAAGTTTTAAACTTTAAAAGTGCAAGAAATTAAACAAATGAACAAGCTTAACTAAATAAATAAATTCTGCAGCTCGGCCAGTACCTTTTTGTTCTAGGACAAGCCAGTACACAAACAAAATTAAGTGCTGAAGCTTAGTGTAAGGAAAGGCATCTTTGATCGCCCTAACATTTGTGTATGTTTAAAAGCTCTATAACTAAGCATAAATTCTTGTGTCTGATGGCATCATTGCGCTCATTGCCCGCTTTCTTGCCACCAAGAAACGACCCACAAGAGTCATCGCTCGGCTATATTACAAAGATTTGCTCTTCTTCAAACGTAATAAGGTAATATAATATTAAAGTAAATCGTTTACGTACCATAAATTGGAAGAAAAGTCGCCAAAACTCCAGCAATGCTCTTTTTCTCTCAGTCATCTTTCTGATCAAACTTACGACCAAAACAATGAAAAACCTCGCCGAGAGGGTCAAAAGCGTTTTCCTTTATCCCTGGTTTACTTAAAATTCCTTAACAAGACTTGCACTTCTAACTTAGTCGCAGAATTTCTCCTTCGTCAGTTTATCAGATGATTTTCACGTCGCAAAGGTGCATTCCCCCCGCGGCTACACTTGGTAAACAAGTGATGTCACAGACATGCGCAGTACGTTATTCAGCCCTGTCCGTCCTCACTGGTGCTTGTCTTGAAAGCCCTAAGTTAAGTTGCGAAAAGCTATATGAGCTTTTCGTAAGGACAAAGAAAACTGTCCGTTATATCCGAAACTCCATAAAGCGGGTTTCCATGGGGCTTTTAATTTTTGGCGCATGAACTATTGATTTCGATTTTCTAAGTTGAGAATCCTGTATCTGCGAGGTTCATATTCACCCGCTAATGTGATAAGTCGATACCTCATTCCTGAGAAGCACCTCAGACGAAATGGTGTCACACATGCCCAGTACTCAGGAGAAAAGATATTCCAACGACTTGTCTGATGAGAGGATGTTTTTTTAGATCGAGCCCGCGCTACCTTACGCGATATTGGACCAGCGGTATGGAACGGTGGTTTTAGTACATTTTTAGCGATTGCGCTACTGGCATTTTCCGAGTCGTACCCTTCCAAGACTTTCTTTAAGGTAAGTAGAGACGATATCTGCTCTCTTGACTTCATAATGTAAATGGTAATATGGTTTCGTTATGGCTTAAGGTGATTCACTGGTTTTGCACTGCGCATAACAAGATGGCAGCCGTAAAAAAGAGCATTTGAAGTAACCCTATTAAAATGAAGTCGAATGAAGAGAAACGCTATTGGAATTTTTGCTTGTGGTTGTTTCTTGCCGAGGTGAGACTCAATGTGCAGAATGTGCTGGAAATGTGCAGAACGTAAGCAGTACGCGTCTTGCTGAGTTCGACTTCCTCACGGAGAACCTCGATAGTGGATGTTAAACTTGTGCTTACTCACTTTGATTTTCATTTAAACGGTTTTTATATCACATTGTGTCCTAAACGAGCTATCTCGATGTAAATTCTGTAAAAACGGATTTTTTAATACTTTCTTTCCCCTTTCACATACACGCCATTTTGAAACTCGCCCCAGTCCTCTCTCAAAAATGAAAGAAAATGCATTTGGTGCGCGCTTTCTGCAGCTCTACCGCAAAAACGAGTACGGCGACCCCCATTTTGTATTTCATGATTTTAATAAGGACAGTCCTTTTTCTTTCGATGAGAAAAAAAATTGGCACAAATCTATGTTCAGTTTTTTCAATTTTACTAAATTGTACGGATTGAGCTATCACGGATCGAATAGCGCGTGTCCAATTTAATTCTACCTTGGAGCGTAAAGTAAAAACAAGGGCACCAAAAGGCATTTTTCTGGTACGTAAGCGGATAAACAATACATTTAAGTTAAATTCTGTGCTTTACCACATGCATCATCGAAAAAATCTCTCCTTTTTGTCTAGTTTTGGGCTGCGGGCGAAACTATACAAAGGGTCGTAAATAGCCGTATTTGTCAGCATTTTGACGTCAAAACAAGCACGGTGACGCCCAATTTTTATTACTTTTTTTATCATCTTCTTGACTTGTTACATCAGTGTACTAAGTTTCATCTACAATCTATGTTAGGTTCTTTTACTAAGGAATCACCTTAAGGTGTTTCGATACAGTTTTTTGGAGACCATACCGACGTTTTTCAGTCAGCCTAAAAGTGATTTTATCCTTGTCCCATCGCTACAAGATCTTCACCAGTGATTGACTATAAATTGAAGTTTGTCAAAATGCAGTTTCTAGTAAAATATCACTATGACAACGATGAACAAAAACCTTTGAAATCGATAAAATCCAAACTTTGCGTGATCTGGACCTGCTACTGAAAATCCGACACCAGTAACTTAAAGTGTGGTGTTCAACAAATACTCTCCGTGAGAAGTAAAAAATTCTGTATGTTTGAATTCAAATAAAACGAAAATTTATTTCAAACCTTATATTTTCAATAGCCGTGATAAAATGTTTATTTAAAACGTTCTAAATAGCTCACATTAATCTTAAGTAAGGTTAGAATGCTGCTTAATTTCATTTTTCGATGCTTGGAAATTTTGGTGTATTTTTTTCTTGCGATCCTGAAAACTAACCTGTTTTCTCACCACCTGTTTATTTGTTTTGAAGAAGAAAAAATCAAACGCGCTATAGTTCTGGTAGTCATTTTTTATCGAAAAATAAGGACTGACAATATTAATTCGCTTAGTTTGACGGAACAGGAAAATATTTCGCCTTGTTAAATTACGAAACGAGCAAACTTGTAGCCGTTAAATAAATTATTTTGGTCACACTTTACTATATTTACCGGACTTCGCTGCTTTCGTTTGGAGGCTACCTTCAGGAACCCAAGCCAATTCTCAGGTATGTTTTAGATGAATGTCTGAATGTGTGATTAAACGAGGACTGAGAAAATTTGGAGCTATACCACATAAAGAATAATGCCACAGAAAACAACTGCTAAATTAAACTTTTTTGTCACCGTAAAAACCTGTTCTTCGTTTTTTAATTATGTCAGTTTAGCGAGTCTCGATATTGCTTTGAAAGCATCTTTTAGTAAAAGAAGATGATGGAAAGTGTCCAAATTTCTCATTGCGGCTTAATTTGTTTGCAAACGCGAGAAGAGTTGATGTTATCAAATTTCGAGTTTGAAAAAAGGCCGTTTTGAGACTCCCACCAGGAAAACTGATATTCTTAATTTTCTCGAGAAAAAAGGCTTTTTGCAAGAACAATGTACATCAGGTTACTTGTCTACCTAAAAGCTATCTATGGACAAAAAATGAAGGAAATCTATTTTTCAACTCTTGCCACTCGATTTTCGATATTTCCTGACCTTCGCTCTTAAGCAGCATTCTAACGCTGCTTAAGATAGTTGTGATTTATTTAGAACTTTTTTAATGAACATTTTATCCCGGCTATCAAAATATAGGTTTGAAATATATTTTCGTGTTATTTGAATTCAAACAAACAGAATTTTTTACTTCACACGGAGATTATTGCTCAACACCACGCTTTAAGTTCCTGGTGTGGGATTTTCAGTGGCAAGTCTAAATTCGCGCAAAATTCGGATTTTATCGATTTCAAAGTTTTTGTTTATTGTTGTCATAGTGATATCGATTTTATGAAAAACTGTATTTTTACAAACTTCAAGTAATATATCAAACATGAGATGCAGTGTTTCATCACCAGATGAAACACCGAGAAGAGAGTTGAAAATACGACGCGCAGCGGAGTATTTTTGACGAACTTCGAGGCGTTTCATCTGGTGATGAAACACTGTGTCGAATGTTTGATATTTCTTCTCAAACAAAATCATTTTTGAAGGAGAAATTAAGGATGCAAATACTAAGCAGTGTTTCATCCGATTTCCAAACACTCATTAAACATTAATTTCCTTTGTATTTTCTTAATGAATTATTAATGAGTTTGAGAATACATATTCAATCACTGATGAAAAGTTTGTGGCTATCGGACAGGGACAAAATCACTTTTAAGGCGATCGGAAAACATCGGTATGGTCTCCGAAAAACTGTATTGAAACACCTTAAAGGGGCCAAAAAATATTGTTTCGTTAGTGCTGATGGTTGCTTTTCTCTTTTGTTGCTGCCGTATCTCTTCAAAGACGTGTCTACCGTTGAAGTTTTTCTGAAATCTTTGGTAACTTTTAACTCGACCAGTCGTTAATCAAGGGAGCCACAGAGAGCTTGTGGGTATAAAGAAACTGAAGGCTAAATTGGAGACAAAAGTGTAGCCAGTAATGTTACCCGCTTACAAGTTACTGAAACTTCCCTAAAGTTACAGGACCACCTTTTTGCAGGTATTTTCCTGTGTAGTCGTTTATGGACTGTTTTATGGACTGTGCTACCTTCCCGTGATGCTCAGCGTGATTGGGCCCTCTCCTAGTGAGTCTGCTCAGGAGCACGCTAACAGACACGGCACTGCAGTCCACCCAGCTGGGCCGGCGGGAGACAATTCTTGTTGTCAGTTACCTGTAGAGCTCGTAAGTAATGGCATTCAGAATGGTGGATATTCCATTCAACCAGCAGACCACGAAGGTGAGTAAATATAAGTAAATATATGATAGGGGACTTAAGAAAAGTCCTTTTTGAATAACTAAAGTCAATCGAAAATGGACTTTCTGCATTCTGGGGAAAAAATTTTGGCGAATTTTTTCGGGTAAATCGTCTCTATATGAGTTATGACTCCTAGCAATTCGAATTGGGTAGTGTCAAGGTATATTAAAAGGGGAAAGGCCTTACTTCAAAAAATGCCTTACTATTCTCGCTATTATGAACGTGAGCGAAGAAATAGTCACAAAAAAAACCCTCAAACTTAAATTCTGTGTATGTAAAAGATGTTATAAGCCGCAAAGCTTAAAACAGAGGAAGAAAGCTGATACTATGCCAT